AAACAAATTCAGCCAGGGTCGACGGGGCGCGGTCGCCGTAGAGCCATCAAATGGCCATAAATAGAAAGTTATCGCTGCCCAGGGGCGTACGAGCCACAATTTTGAATTTAGCTTACTTATAGCTCTAGCTAATAGGTTTCTCAATCGAACCAAGTCGAAAAAATACCTAAGTACGAACCGTAAATACTTTACACCTAGAGAAGAAACAGCACGATATTATTTTTTAACTAACAAGAAACAATGTAATAAGTACGCAACTAACGTAAAATCCATCCTGGCTCATAAAACTTCAAATATTTATAACCTGTGGAAAGACTATAATCGTATTTTTATCTGTGGAATGAGTAGTCTGTGATTAACACGAAATAAAGGAATGATGGTCATAAGATTTTAAAGTTTTATATACCCAAGAATCTCAGAAATTAGGCCGGCGATCTTCAATAATGGTCGTGACAAAATGGCAGAGGCGACCCTGCGAAGGAGAAATTGGTACACTACAGTCTTCGCCCAAGCCAATATACCTAATAACAACTGAGCAAAAGGAGCCATTAAATATTATGTCGTACAAGCTCCGAGTAAAGAGGCGCAACTAATCGGTCTGACATCAGCGGTCGATGTACGACAACAGAGTCGCCGCCTGTCACTTTTTTACCCGACCGCCGAAGGAGGGTAATGTTTTTCGAGCGTATGTGAATGTATGTCTAATCCTTCGGCACGCTTCAAAGCCTAAAGCGTCTGACAGATTTCAAAATTTAGGCTGTTTATATATTCATCTCAGTTTCAGGAATGACATAGAGTATATTATTTCAATATGGTGGCCGTAAATAATAGTAACTATAACGAAGTTAAACTTTCTTTTTAGTTTAATTATTGATGCTTGTTGTCACGACCGGTTAGTTGGTATACTAAGACGGCTGCGTTTCAGAATTGTTAAGATATCGCGTTCGCACACATACGTAATAAATTACAATAATAGAGGACCGAGGAAGTCAATATTAAGTTTATTTTTAATTAGCGACCCGCACCGGCTTCTATTATTTTCTTTCTTTCTATTAAAGGTTTATTTCGACATCACATTAGAAACCTCTAAAACTATCGGTGTTTCTCTAATATATTACACAAGAATTATAGATCTAAACCTTCTTCTTGAATCACTCTATCCATTAAACAAAACCGCATCAAAATCCGTTGCGTAGTTTTAAAGATCTAAGCATACATAGGGACAGACAGCGGGACGACTTTGTTTTATACTATGTAGTGATTGGCCAAGCTACAGTTCTGCTGTTGCACAAACGAGCAGGCTCGTACGGGGAATTACCAAGTACTCACAGAAGATCTTGTATCTTGTATTAACTGATGTTTTTGCTTTCAGTCCCGACATTATTAAAGCTTCATCTGAAGCAGAACCGGTGGGTTAGCCAGAACCCACGGGTTTGGACCCTCCGCTTACACTCACAGAAGACCGGCGCGGAGTTGAAGTTACGGTATATTACCGTTTCATCTGGCGAGCCAGACAACCGGGGCCACTTTTGTAAAGGATTGCAACCCATCTGCAACATTTTAGGTGTACGGAAGTGTTGTACTTTCACGTAACGCTTTCCGTCTGAGGCAAGTGGGTTCCATTTTTACAACGGATTGCAACCCATCTGCAATCATTCACGTGTGGCAGATGTTCGGCGCTAATCACGGAACATCTAGTGAACCGGCTCGCTTGTAAACTTGCGCACAAAAACGCGAGACCACACCGCGTTGCGACGTGGATTACCGACGGGAGCGTTCGGCGTAAAAAGTAACAATCATAACGCGACGGCTGGACGAGTCGGCGTTTGTCGGGAGGCCGCTTTTCAACCGACTCCGAAAAAGAGGTTCTCAATTCTGACCGATTTTGAAAATACTCTTTGCATTGGTTCCGGTGTAGCCTCACGTGTTCCCATACTAATTACTCGTATTGGAACTATTCAAAATCAAATAGAAAATGTATACTTTAGTTAGAAATGCGTATATTAAAGCATAATTACATTTTCCACAGTTCAAACTAGGCGTGGCGTATCAGCCAATCGGGAAAGCCTACTCATTACTGTCGAATTTTATTATCTGGATGTTTATATAAATCCAGGTACAAACAAACAGACAATGGAAGAGCAATATGTTCGTAAAACAATATTTTTTCCAGTGGGGGTTGAACCCATACCTTCGGGCGCATGAGACAGGTTCAGTATCCCCTACGCCAATCAGGTCATCGAACCGTAATCTATTCGAGTTCGGACTTATGACGGTAAGATGGCTTGACCTTTGACGATTTATTAATACTTCACAAAGCATACAGCTTGTGCAAAGTCTAGGTTTCGAACAGCTTAATATTCTGTAACAAGCAAATAAACAACACAAAATATATACAAGTCGGTACGTATGTCCACTTGCGTGACGTACATACATTAACATAAATATATAATGGCCAGTACTGTTTATACATGTATATAAGTAATCAAAAGAAACATTGTAACAACTTAATGTATTTTATTTAGGTATTATCGCAATAGCAGATGTCACGTCATTGACTTCGCTTTGGAAATAGAAACGCGTGTTGTACAATAACAATGCTAAGTGACTATGGATGTAGCAATTTCGTCTCTAGCGAATTGTTTTAATTAATTACCAACGCAGACGGTTAATTAATAAACAAAGAGAAGTTCTTTGTATGTTATCTCTTTTTATTTTTTTAGTGTAGGATAACTTAATAATGTGACATGACTTCTTTGACATTCATAAATGTGATGTGACTTTGGGTGCGAAAGTTTCAGCTAGAGAAAAACCCAGATTCATATCTGTTATCCAAATATTAGTACCGTGCGGAAATCGAACCCGTCTGAATACCGAAGCCAATAAGCTTAGCAATCGAAAGAAAATTTTAAACACTGATGAACATTTATTGGGGAGATTAAGACTTATTTTTTTTTTCATTTGAAGAGAACATATTATTTTTAATAAAAAAAATGTGACCAATTACATTTTTTTCGTACTTGCGCGAGTTTTATTGCAGGTGGGTATATGCATGTATGGAGACATGTAGTTATTAGAAACAAATTATAGTTGTTTTAAATAATGGATACCTTCGCATTAGCAAAGTATATTTACCCAAAACACAACACAAACACTACAACAAAAAGATGACAGAAATCAAACAAGCAATTTCAATTTGTGTCGCATCCGTGCCGGGGACATCGGTACGGGGCGTCTATCAAATTTTATGGACGGTATAACGTACCGATAACGATGGTATAATGTACCGTAATAAATGCCGGTACCCATTGCACCTGCCCGGCCAGTTCTGTTGGTTGGCTTCGAGGCTCGAGACACCTTGCTACATAGGGACCGTGACACCAACTAAAGATAACCGTTCGGACCGATTTTTTGAAGTTATTCCTTTGGGGCGTTTGGAGAAGTTCTGAGAGTAAAATGTTTACGATGCGCGCGCACACCAACCCTAAAAAGCGACACGGTGAAGTTGGTTGCTAAGCGACCGTTGCAAAGAAAAAACTTTATGAGATCCTTACTCTTTACTATTATTATAAACGCGAAAGTTTGCAGGTATGGATGGATGTTTGTTACTCTTTCACGCAAATACTACTGAATGGATTTTAATAAAACTTTACAATAATATAGCTTATACATCTGAATAACACATAGGCTATAATTAATATACATATTTCTATGTATATGTGTCTTTCTGTATGAATGTTACGCCTTCAGCCTATTCTATGTAGACGTAGTCGCGGGCAGCAGGTAGTTTACCTATAACTCAAGTTATTTAATTAATTAACAGTTCAAATCAATTGCATTTAAAGTAAAAATAATAATAAATATTTTTAGGACACATTTTTACACAACATTTTCTAGTCCCAAACTAAGCAACGCTTGTACTACGGGTACTAGAAAACTGATAAACATACTTAAACATACTTTTCTTTTGTAAATAAATATATATTATAGATATAAAAACACCCAGACACTAGAAAAACACTGTGCTCATCACACAATATTTTCCCAGTAGTGGGGATCGAACCCACACCCTCTAGCGCAGGAGGCAGGTACACTACCCACTACGCCATTCAGGTCAAAGTGAAACAGTCATAAGTAGGCAGGGTATCCCCTGCAAATTTTTAGTTGTTTTCTTTGGTTATGCGAAACAAGTATAACTTCTTACGCGCGTACAAAGTACCTACATACACGTTTCTTTTTTATATATTATTTCTCTTCTATACCCTTATCTCACCTAGGTGGGGTCTGCAAAACATGTGAGCCATGTTGTCAGTGGATCTAGCTAGGTTTCTACAACCGACCGCCTGCCTGTCGTCAACCCTCCTTGGAAACAAACACCCATATGTGGAACAATTATCCGTGGGTCACACGCTTGTGCCGTGTGGGAATCGAACCCACGACCCTTCGCGCCAAAGCCAAGGGCTAACTGGAGCAGTTAGCCCTTGGCTTTGGCGCGAAGGGGTCGACTTTGATTTGTTAAAATGAAATATGCAGTAGAAGCCACAAGACTACCTACCATAGTTGAGTGACGCATTAAGTTCTGCAGATTAAAAAATAATAAAGCATATTTATAAATAAAAGTAATTTGCGGACTTTGGCTTATTAAGCTAAATATATATTACAAAAACTTTGGTCAGTCTTTTTTACCACATTTTTTAATCGGAGTCCGGTACGTAAATCACATGGTTACACAATTATCGCAAACATTAACTCAACGTATTATTTGAATCAAAAATGTTTGTTGTATTTTATACATATTTACACTGAATTAAGTGGCTCCTAAATTAAACATATTTAACTATACGGCAGCGCTTACTTAAGTCAGTAGAATGCTTTTATTTTGTTGAGCTCTTAGTCCGTACGTACAGCTGAATCGAAGACAGAGCTTGTGGAAGAGCTATGTGTGGACATGCGTGCTTTTACAAAATGAGGGGATTTTGGTCTATGGGCCTTGGAAGTTAGAAGACAGATTTTCCGCATTGATATCCGACCTTGATATCGACGGCCGTCGACTGTGCTATTCGTTGGCTGGGAACGGTAAACGGTAAAGGCGGGTGTACCTTGTGTACATGTGTGTCGGATTCGTTTTACTCGCAAGCGAAGACGTCAGTATAACAAAGCAATGTAACAGCCTATATATATGTATATATGTGCCACTGCTGGGCAAAGGCCACCTCTGTTCAAAGGGTATTAGGGCATAGTCCACCAAGGGACCCCACTGCGGATTGGTGGACTTCACATACCATCGAAATATTATTTTTGTTATTATTTCGAAATTATGCAGGTTTCCTCACGATCGATTCCTTCAACCTTCAACGCAGAGCATGTGATAAGTGAGCACTTAAAGTTAACAATTTCATTGGTGCCGGCACCGGGGATCGAACTCGGGATGCTCGAGTGTATTGAATTAAAAGCGTTCGCCCGGACAAGCAAATTAAGTAATTCCCTGCAATTCTCAGGATTCTAAGAAAGCCCGTGAAAACTGAGGCTGTAAAATATTACAAAAGACGTTCTTAAAGCAGCAGTGATACATTTTGTAAATAATTCGCATTCGAAATAAAGAAATCACTGTTTAATAAAAAAATAGGTTTCAGTGAGTTTTATAGGAAAATTTTGCATAGATACTGACCTTAATAATTTAACGCAAAGGCAACTACACTGCGTTAATTTATTCGAAAACCAAGGGGCGACGGAATGTACGCCTAAACGAGTTTCGATGGTCACGCGAGTTGGTAATTAAATAATGTCTACATACAGAGCTCTGTCGTTGGCGCACCCGTCTCTATGGACTTCGAATCATTGCAATAAAAAAATGCTTTCAGACAAACGCGTATGAAGCAGATGTTTACGGAGAAATTTTCTTAGATTCGTCACATCTTCGAAACGTCTCGTAGATCTGAATATACTAGCGTCTCACTGTCTGTCTGTCCCTATGTATGCTTAGATGTTTAAAACTATGCAACGGATCTTGATGCGGTTTTTTTTACTATATAGAGTGGTTCAAGAGGAAGGTTTATAACTACCCTTACTTAATATTATAAACGCGAAAGTTTGATGGATGTTTGTTACTCTTTTACGAAAATACTACTAAATGGATTGTAATGAAACTTTACAATAATAATGCTTATACATCAGAATAAGACATAGGATATAATTTATATACATGTTTTAAGTATATCGGCAGCAGCTAGTGTACAATACATTGCACCCGCGCTAAGCCGGGGCGGCCCGCTAATTAGTACTAAATTACGATTTCTGCAGAAGGCTTACGCTCGCTTCTACTGACACGATGACTCATTACGTCCGTGCTGTGAGAACAACTCAATAAAAGCCACCCGTTTGATATGAAGCATGGATTAAGGAATTAATATACGTTATGAATATGAAACGTCGAGGAATGAAATAGCGCTAACTGCGGCGCCGGCGCCAACGCAGCGACGCGTCGCGGGGATAGACGCGGGCTAGTTGCTAGAAACGGAATCCGCAAGCAAGGGAACTTCAATCTTATCCCAAATAGACACAGTCGAAAGTCGAAATCGATTTCGATGGACATACGACATTTTAAGAAGTAAGAGCTTCGAATGCGCCCATCCGACCGTATCCAAGCATCGCGATACTCGAAGAGCTTCTGCAGTGCGAACATGCGCCTTATAGCCCTGCAATAAGAGTGCAATCTAGCGAATACCATATCCTTGTCTAGCGCAACGCGTGCGAGGGGGACGCGCGCCTCTGACGCGTTGCAAGCGGCTGGCTCTGCGATAAACATCTCTTTTTGGAACTAATGTCTCTTTATCACACATTTAAGTTTGAGATTCTAAGAGTGGAACGAAATAATATATTCACGTTAACGTTAACCTTTTTCACGAATGTGACTAGATAGCGCAGCAACGGTGTTTCGCCCAATCGTAATAAATGTAAATCGACCTAAATTTTGCATCGTCATCCAATTCCGAGTATTGTTACAAGATCTATTTCGCTGGATCGTCAGCAGATTGGTTTTAAATTAACAACAAAATTACATCGATTCGACGAAAAGATAGCAAGAAAGCTAATAAGAACATTGTAAAACTTTGCGTTAGTGACTTTGACTACAGAAGAAATCAATTAAGAATCTAGCTACTAACACATCTTAGGAAGTTTGCAGAGTACCGCTTCTATATTCTACTGATCTGATCCCACCTTCTGTACACAGTTAACAAGCAGATCCAAATCCTAAAACAGGAACAGAGGCTATAGAGTCATTTGCCTTTTGGCATTGCAACGCGAGGGAAGCATTTCTCTTGCCGACTTCTCTTTTGTCTTGCTTGTGAAAGCCATGCAATTAACTGCCACATAGCGACGATACGAAATGTGGCTATTTGGATATTCATGTATTTGGAGGGGTCCGGACATCAAAAACTTTATAAATCTTTAAAGCCCCAGGGGCATGGGCGAAGGTAAATCAAAGATTTAAGAGGTAATGCCTTGAATATACTAGGGTAGGGGCTTTGAAAACTATTGGTTCCTGCACCTAGACAAATTCACAGTATCTACAGCGCGAGATGTTTAGACTACAAACGTTTGTGTGCCGAATTTCGATATTCATTTGCGCAAGTTACGTATAGCTTGAGGTGTTTTCTTTGGTGGTTCGAGTCTTTACGCTCAAAGGAGTAATTATGCGAAGACAAAGTTAGTGACAACAGCGTTTTATACCAGTCAGGATTACGTGGATTCTTATTCTTGATTAAGGAATGTTTACTTGCCGTACTAAATTTTTAACGTTATACTGATTGTAGTATTTTTCAAATTAAGCTATAAAAATATACTTCAATATATTAGACGGTTACGTATGTAACACATTAAATGGTTAAAATAAAGAATACACAAAAAATACATAGATGCATCCAACTTAGGCGTGATATTTTAGCTCACTATGTTTTTTTTTTTTTCGAAAAGATAATACCGTACCATATTACGTATTAAAGTACAGATGACATCTCCAAGGCAATCGCTTAGAATCAGGCGAACCGATGCTCAGTTGTCATCTTTAGAAAAAAGACACAAACACACATACCTAGTAGTTTTTTATTTATTTATATTTATTTAATCCCCAACGACATCAACGATGAGATGAGACAAAAACGGGCCAAGCACTCGACTCGAGGAGCGGACGGAGTAAGCACTTGAAGCGCTTTGACATGCGAAAGCAAACACCGATTGTGTGAACTAAAGCGCTGCCAGCGCCCCACGGTGCGCGCGGCGATCCGATGGGGTATTTATAAACACGGCAGGTGCTCCGGTGGCGGAAAGCGCTTGTTTTGCGTAATACGTAAACAGTGCGCCGAACGTTTCGCTGTAGACGGACGGAGAGATAAAGCGAAGCTATACTATGCAGCTGCAAAGCTATGCTTTACGGCGAAAGATTTGCTTTGCGAAAAGCTTTACTAGCGCTATTTACGCTTCTAGGTCAGGGATGGCCAGCAAGTCGAAATTGACGCTTATTAAATCGCAAATTATCGCTTGCAAATAATTTCTAAGTTTCAAAGTGACACAAAATAGAACACTTACACGCAACTATTGATATTTTTGGCCATATATTATTCATCTACGCTTATCACCCGAGAGTCTATCGTACCAGCACGGAAAATACTATGAACTTTACAGCATCTATGATCCGGAGTTACGCTTATGATTAGTTCAAAGGCACAAAATTAGTGGACGAACCTGTGTTTTAGTAGAATCGCTCCCAGGTGTTAACCACTAAGCTAACCGGCTAATTTTTTTGTCCATTTGTCTACAAACCTAAAGTGCAGAGATATAATTATAAAAAAAAAACCACACTATAAAAACTAAATATAAAGCATTCCAAAAATATACACTAACTTTAAACACACACGACCACCCCAACAGGGTAATGTCATAAAAAGGGTAATTTTCACGTGATAGCAGTTACGAGAAATCTCCATACATGAACACTCCGAACGGAGCTCGAACTATATCGGACGCACTCTAGCGTTTCAACCTATCTCGCCGGGACAAAAACCCCGGCGTTGCAACCTCGCCCTATCTCGCCGGGACATAGCCCGGTGCGCCTTATCGAGGAACACGGACATCGACTTAGCCGGGCCTATTTTTACCCGGCCACGCTCTCAGCCATATCGGCGCGCCGGCGTGATTTATAGGGCGCCCGATTTACCGATCGCCGGAAGTGCCTCCCAGCGGCCTGTTAAAAACACACAGCATACCCGACAAGTGACAACCCTATACCAATTTCAAAAACACAGCATACCCGACAACCCCATAACAATTTCTCGAAGTTTATATTAACTGTACACAATATAGAGTATGCAAGTGTGCGGGAAGTCGATGGATGCAGGCTCAGGATCGTGCTTCGTGGAAGCCTGTACGGGAGGCCTTTGTTCAGCAGTGGACTCAAACAGGCTGAAATGATGATGATTTATTTATTTATTTATTTACACTTTATGCACAATCTAGTACAAAGGCGTACTTAATGCCAAAAGCATTTTCTACCAGTCAACCTTAGGGTGGTGTAGAGATAAGAAGACCCAATAAGACTGAAAATCTTTTAATAAATTTCTACAAACGTTTATTTGTAAATGTGAAATAATATGCTTGACAATCCTAGAACTCACAGTGTATTTTCTATTTATATTTATAGGGTTAACATAAATATTAATTTTTTTGTGACAACCATATAATTCCTTTTGTTATATAATTATATTAAATGTACAAAATATGCCCGACTGTCTTGTGTATTCGTGTCTGCCTCATTACTCTCGAACTGTGATAAACCAGACAAATCTTCGTCCAAATTTCTCGACCATGCTTGACAACCCTTAAGTTATAATTAATAAACGCCTTTTTTATTAACTAAGCGCGCTGATCCTTGAAAATTGTTTTTTTATTAGTATTTACCCCAAACCAGATACAACTGCCAATGAGAATTGTATCTAACAATTTAAACATTTCCTATATTTCTATCATTTTTAACCGACTTCAAAGGGAGGAAGTTATCAATTCGATTGGTATATTTTAAATGTAAATATTTAAGAGAACTTATGTCTCACCGAGTCACAGACGCTATTAGGACGGAAATGTTGAGTAGGTAATGTGAAACTGTTTCTTTGCACCGAAAGGTCTGAATAGGACGGTCTTTTGGCGCCGCGTGCAAATAAATGTAATGGAACAAAAAATTACTCTATGGGACCTCAAACACCTCTGCCGGTTTGAGTTGATGTTTGCATTTAAAAAGGCAATTGAATTCTATGAAATCTCTAGAAGCTAACCATATAATGAATGTATATTGCTCTATTATTATTAGACGCCCCGAAATGCGTAGTGGACAGTGTACCTGCCTCCTGCGCCAGAGGGTGAGGGTTCGATCCCCACTACTGGAAAAATATTGTGTGATGAGCATAGTGTTATTCTAGTGTCTGGGAGTTTATATATGTATAATAATTATGTATTTATTTACAAAAGAAAAGTATGTTTAAGTAGGTTTATAAGTTATCTAATATCTAGTACAAACGTTGCTTAGTTTGGGACTAGTGAAAGTTGTGTAAAAATGTGTCCAAAATTTTTTTTGTTATTTTTATTGTCTTACTTTAGTACAATAAATTTAAAATCATCACATAATGATTACTTAATATTTTTCTGTAAAAGTAAAATTGCGAGACGTGATTACAGTTTAGACAAGATAATATCCTAATTGGGCCACTAAAAGCGATTCGTAGAATTCCTTCGGACTACTTTAAGCGTAGACGATGTCAAGAGGATGCAGGTAAGGGACCCAGCGGCCACTTGAAACGGGAACAGAACAATAATGATTCTTAAAACAAACAACTCCATCTGTACGACGAGCACGCATTGATGGACCGATGTACACAACAACTAATAACAAATATTACTAATACTTAATTCGATTTAGTTTCCTTTACTATGTTGTGTTTAATGTTTTTACTTAGACACCTAGATTTCTGTTGAGACATTTCGAAAACCGCACATTATCTGCGGTGCTCACACTAGGCGACGCCTGTATCGTGAGCACCAATGTAATTACAGTTGTTGCAATAACTGATTTGATAAAGTCGAAGGCAAAATTTATTTTCAACTAGCTGCTTCCCGCGACTACGTCTGCGTAGAATAGGCTGAAGGCGTAACATTCAGACAGAAAGACAGATATACATAAAATATGTATATAAATTATAGCCTATGTCTTATTCTAATGTATAAGCTATATTATTGTAGTTTCATTGAAATCCATTCAGTAGTATTTGCGTGAAAGAGTAACAAACATCCATCCATATACACAAACTTTCGCCTTTATAATATTATTAGGATTAAGTAAAGACAAGCTTCTGCGGACTTGCCTGCCAAATACGTTACGTTATTATTTTGCAGAATTATTTATTTCCAAACTTAAAACAGTACAGAGAAAATCCGCTACGAAACTATTTGGTCGTAAGTTTTTTTTCTTTAATGGCTATAGTGCACGATTGATGTTGTTTTTCGCATAAAACGAAGAAGGGCTATTCCAGATACGTTATCTGCAAAAACACTTAGTCATTATTGTCCGACGACAAAGGCCTTCGAAAGGAACAGAGCACTGTCGGACTTCTAATAATTAGCGACAGGGTTGCCACTCGCAAAAACGGGGACGCCAGGTAAGTATTGCCGGGGCGGGTAAAAAAAATCGCCCGCCCTCACAGCCCTGCAGGTACCTCTACCTGGCGGGAAAAGGGGCACGGTAATGGCGACGGGCCCCGCCGGACAGATAAGGCGGCACTTAGGGCACTAAGCGGGGCCGCACCTTGGCGACAACGCGGCACCGGGCCCGGTGGGAGTGCGCACACTCCGATAGCACTAACAGGGCCGGGCTCGCTGCTGGCGACGACGCGGCACCAGGTCCGGACCGCCCGTCCTTAGTCCCCGATAACGGGGCCTAATTGAGTTTCTCTGTCGCCGCCGCGTTATCGCCGGCCCGAATTAGACGCATGGTGTCGGCGCGGCGGGCAATCGTGCGGTTCACAGCACTACGCCTAATCTCTACGGAATGACGTTTTATCGGTGGCGGGGTTTTGGGTCCAGATAGGAGTGGACGCCCCGAGAGGAAATCGTGTCGGTCGATGTTCGGATGATGCGTCTCTAGTGTCGGCGGGTCGATTTATACGACGATATCGACATGACAGACTGGAATGTTCTACGTATTTATTGCATTGAAGGCTTGCGCAGAATTGCAATTTGCCCCTGTATGCACGATCTTTTATTTTCGCCTTTTTTCGGCTTTCCATGGCTTATTTATACAATTGTCTCGAGCTTCCTTCGTATAGATCGAAACGCATTTTGCAAATACGAAATTATAACGTTATCGAGCGAAGCAATAAATACCAACGAAGAAGTTGAAACGTGCAATAAAATGTTGCATATTTGAATTTCATACCATGGTTAATCGTTAACCGTTTAAGGTTTAAAGAAACATTTATTAAAAACCATTAAAGTTATAGACCAGCATTCCACACTTAACGGAAGCTTATCAGCGTCAAAAAGTGACGGCGGAGAAGTGTCCAACGTGTCGAAAAGCACAACGAGAAGTGTAGGTTTCGAACCCGACGACGACGATGCCGCGTCTGGCCACAACCGCCGCGCGTATAAATAAACATGGCGACTAACGCAATGCCGCGTCGTGGTTTAAATACGGCCGTAAATCACGGCGCGTACGACGTGAAAGCAAAGAGGTCCGGCGACTGAGGTTATCAGGAGGCCAGCGTACGTACGATCGTCGAGACAGCATCCGCTGAATCACTACATCACTACATAGTATAAAACAAAGTCGTCCCACTGTCCGTCTGTCCCTATGTATGCTTAGATCTTTAAAACTACGCAACGGATTTCGATGCGGTTTTCTTTAATAGATAGTATGATTCAAGAGGAAGGTTTATATGTATAATCCATGAATAATGTAGTAGAGAAACACTAATAATTTTAGATGTTTCTAATGCGATGTCGAAAACAAACATTCAGCATTGCACCCGCGCGAAGCCGGGGCGGGTCGCTAGTAATTGATAAAATAAACCATGCACTAATGATGGAGAGTTGCCAGATTGGCGCGAAAGGGTATACATACATCAAAATGAAACGGTGAAAACTAAAAAGTATTAATTCTTGGTCGTCAACACGTGTTACACACAGCTATAATTGTTCGAATGGCGAGAAGGTAGTGTTGTTGCTTCTATATATAATATACCCAGCACGAATGGTGAAATGATAAACAAGGGTACCTCGCCTATTTCCTATTATGCGCAGTTTTATTGATCCGATTCCCAGTGATGTTCAGTGGGCATCTGAACGGGGCGCTTTATGCACGTATTTTCGTGTTTGTGGCATCCCCTACACGAGAAAAGATTGTAAAATAAAATATTGTATGATAGGAAACGACTTTTGCCTCAGAAGTTTATTGACATAACTGATTATGTCTTGAGTTCGCGCGGATATTAACTGTTAAATATAATATTTTACAGATTCCAAAGCGTTCTTGGCTTAGACGTAACCATAAAAAGTTAAACCTAACGGAACATGTAACAAGGATTTCTATGAAAATATATAGAAGATAACAAATATGCTTCAATTGTAGAGATTTTATTTACTTTTAAATAGATGAGAGTTCATTCAGGACTAAAACGCACAGATTATGGTAAAATTTGCATGGGAATATCCTGCCAGGCCTTAAAATCATGGTGACTCTACTAGGGGAGCAGCAGAGGCGCTCACGAGCTATAAAAGTCAGATAACATTATTCTGAGTCAGAAAAGCTCGAATGCTTTTGGTGCATGAATCACATCCCCTGTTGAGGCGTTATGCTCTCTATTTCGTTTGTTGTGATGATTGAATTAAATGTTAAAGATGCCTTACAGATTTAATAGGTACAGAGTTGAGGTTGACACGATAAGTTTCGATCCGTATAAACAAACAAACTTTGAATTCATTATTAAAATATAATATAAAAGATAATAAAGGAGGGGTACGTAAACATTTAAACTTCAAACGGAATTCATTACTTTATTAGTTCATGTATTTTTTAAACGGGATTTGTTACTATTGGAAGTTTATTAGTATTAGAAGCTTGTTTTTCTTTTGAAACTGAGTGGAAACGATTGCTAAGTTTTCAATATCGTCCCTCAAAAATAATATTCTCTATTTATTTATATTAAAAGAAAATGACATTTCTATAGAATATGTTCTGGTGTCACATGAAACTATAACTTTTAGGTCACCGTTAAAAAAACAAGAGATCTTTCGGACTCGATTTTGTCTGTGTTTGTTATTTTTAACGAGCCAAACATTTGACATTCACTAGTGTTACGCACCTCAGAGAGCTCGACTCTAGTTCTCTGTTAAATACATGGTTTTGTTTCTTAATCCTATTATTGAACGATGAAGTCTCTTACTCCTTGTAACCTCAACTATGTAGGCAGACATATTTTATGCTGTCCACGTTTGAACGACCTTATTTCGTAACAAATGAGACAGGTGATGGACCTGTCGTGCACTGTAATACTAATTCTTTTGTAAGAAAATCGCGAAAAGTTTCAGCCTCATATCCAATGATTAATTAACATTTAACAACTGGATTTAATTTTGTGAAAATCATCATATTTCGATTTGCGTTAACTCGAATATAATATTCATCTTTAACTTATTAATTGGGGATCGGAAGAAAGAAAGACGTCCGAAGTTTGTCATATATATCGTTAAAACACGGTTCGAGTGCCGCGAATAAGGCATTTGGTTGTTAAACAAAATCTGAGTAATAATCAGTCTTTTGGGAATGCCCATTACTGTTGGTGTGTGAAGAGTTTTTAATTTATATCGAACTAGCGACTCGCCCCGGCTTCGCACGGGTGCAATGAATTATACATATAAACCTTCCCCTTGAATCACTCTATCTACTATAAAAACCGCTTCAAGATCCGTTGCGTAGTTTTAAAGATCTAAGCATACATAGGGTCAGACAGACAGCGGTACGACTTTGTTTTATACTATGTAACAATACCGCGAAAATGACAAGTCTCGCCGCGTGGGCGTCTGCGAGGCTGTGGGAATGAACTTCGGCTTTAGTGTCATTAAACGCAGTCGAGCCGGCCAATGAAAAATAACGATAAAATCGCGGAAAGACAAATCGAGTTAACCTCCGACCCGCTCGGTCGGGGTTGAGTCGTGAAAGCTTTAATGAACGGGCGAAATTAAAATTTACCAAACGAACTGTTGCGTTAAAAGCAAGCCGTTATAAAGCAGACCTCGAAATTATTTGTAGTGCTTAAAGCGTCGATAAAAGAAATTCCGCGACGATGAATATATTAAACCGGTTGGATATTTAATTATTTCTTTTAAAGAGCACTGTTGTTGCTTTATTGATGGAAATATTTCTGCATGGAAACCGGTCTGCGAAGATTTGATCCTTTCTTTTATGAAATCCAACACAATATAGCGTAATTTATCTAATTTTCGCCACGCCTAAGTCTTCCTGGTCTGCGATTTACGAGGGAATTGTATTGCGTTGCATGTACTCGCATTTTACGGAACCCTGATGTCTATTCTGTTAATGCGCCCTAGGATTCGTTGTTATGTTGGTTTGAACCTTATCGATTGTATTTATTTCGTTAATTTTTTAAACTTGCTTATACAAGTTATACTCTGGGTACATTATAATAGATCAGCGGTCGCATTGGCTAACTTGCGAGCTTTAGGATCGCGAGTCGTACCATCGAATCTCACAAGAAAGGTTCAATAATAAAATATGAAATATTTGGCAGTCTGTCTACGTTCCCTCAGAGCGGAGGCTCCATAAAAACACGCCCACGAAAATTATTCTTCTCATCCAGTAAAAGGATAATGCGAAAGCGTTTTGAAAAAAGAAACAACTTTGATAATATATATGATATTATAATTACTATAAAATACTACTAAGGAAATAGAATGAGCATCAGCGGGATGGAGACTGGATTGAGACGACTGAACTGGAAATAAGTTACATCTGCGCATTAGCTACTACAATATGGCGACACAGCTTCTTTAAAGAGCGGAGAAATGGATCACCACTAAAGTATATGATAGTAATAAATAACAGAACGCACCGCGGTTGAAGGGTTAAAGATAAAGTAATAGGCAACATTTCATATTCATTTCTTAATGCTCCACCCCTCGTAATTAAGTACTCTAGGCACTTCGAGTCCGGTTGAGATTTTATCTAAAGCCGTTGGCTCCTGACCTCGCTGTACCGTGTTCGCAACACTGGAGCTCCGGCGCTTGCTGGTTCGCGTGCGCTATCAGATGGGCGCATCTATTAAATAGGTATTTATTACATCTAGGTAGACTTAGAGAATTGTTCTCCGATAGAATGGGTTTTCTGCGAAACAAATGAGCATAGAAAACGCTGTAACACGTTTCCGAGTTGTATTGTTTTCTTACTTTGAAGACTGCGTTTTGGGCATCTTTTTTAATCCGATCGCTCACAGATATGCCACCTTATTTCATTTTAAGCATTGTGATTTTCGACTGTTTGTGTGATTGCTATTCGAAATAACATAGCATAGACGTATCTAAATTGTCGGATTACATTGTCTTCTTAGATAATGTAAAGCGCAGTTTGGAATTTTCTTTATCTCGTTTAGTTCTTGTAAAATTTTAAATATATCTACAACAGATACAAATTACTAAAAATTAAATTATTGCAAATTCAGTTTTATTGACGGATACAATGCAGACTTGCCTTATAGAAGACTGTTGGGCGATATGCGAGAGGATAGATGAAAATAAAATTATGAAATTTATAGTCCAGACCTGACGATATAATCGGAAAAGGGAAATAGTGCCGTGGCGGAGAGATAAAATATTGTTATAGCATAAACGCTTCCGCTCGATAACTA